AAATAAATAAATAAATCTATCTGACTAAAACAAATTGAAGGCGCCCCTTAAATCCACCACCCAGATAGGATGAATATCTCTTGTTTTGAGACAGTCTCTTTTGCCCAGGCTAGAGGGCTATGGCATCAGACTAGCTCACAGCAACCTCAAAGTCCTGGGCTCAAGTAATCCTCTTGCCTCAGCCTCCTGAGTAGCTGGGACTACAAGTGCCCACCACAACACCTGGCTAATTATTTCTATTTTTATTTATTTAAGCAAAATTTTTTAAGACAGAGTCTCTAGAGTCACCCTGGGTTTAGGTAGAGTGCCATGGCATCATAGCTCACAGCAACCTCAAGCCATCCTCTCCGTGTGTCACCTGCCATAACACCTGGCTAGTTTTACTATTGTTATTTTATTTTATTTTTTTGAGACAGAGCCTCAAGCTGTTACCCTGGGTAGAGTGCTATGACATCACAGCTCACAGCAACCTCCAGCTGGGAGTAGCTGGGACTACAGGCACCTGCCACAACACCCAGCTATTTTTTGGTTATAGTTGTTATTGTTTGGGAGGCTTGGGCTGTATTCAAACCCGCCAGCTCTGGTGTATGTGACTGGCGTCTTAGCGGCTTGAGCTATAGGCACCAACCCAGTTTTTCTATTTTTTTTTTAAATTTTTTTGAGACAGAGCCTCAAGCCGTCATCCTGGGTAGAGTGCAGTGACATCATACCTCACAGCAACCTCCGACTCCTGGGCTCAAGCGATTCTCCTGCCTCCACCTCCCAAGTAGCTGGGACTACAGGCACCTGCCACAATGCCCGGCTATTTTTTGGTTGTAGCCATCATTGTTTGAATCCGGCCTGGGCTGGATTCAAATCTGCCAGCTCAGGTGTATGTGGCTGGTGCCTTAGCCGCTTGAGCCACAGGCACCAAGCCAGTTTTTCTGTTTTTAGTAGAGACAAAGTCTTGCTCTTACTCAAGCTGGTCTCAAACCTGAGCTCAAGGGATCCTCCTGCCTTGACCTCCTAGAGTGCTAGGATTATAGGTGTTAGCTGCCATGTCCGGCCTCGGGGTGAATATCTTTAGTTAGGAGTTTTCATCTGCTTATTGGCTATTTTATTGGTGCTTTGTTTTCTGAGAACCGTCCTCTGCCTATTTTGCATCAGGCTAAGGAGCAGGCAGGAGAGGCCCCCATGGCAGGAGTGTGTCCCACCTCTGGCCTTCAAGGGAAGGTTGGGGGATCTCTGCACCCTCAGCCTGGGTGACCTGTGTCTATCTAGTGACTCCTCCCTTGGGCACCAGGTTCCTACAAGAGGCATTATCTGTTCTGTTCCAGGCTTTTGTCCACACAGTTTTCGCTGCCTGTCTTTGAACTGGCTTGTGGCTCAGGGGTGGGACACAGCTACAGGGGTCCAGCAGTGGCTGCACTGGGCCCTGACAGGGCTGCCCCCTGTTTGCCCCTGGAAGTCAGCTGGGCTGGGCTGGCCTGGAATTACTGTCAACCTGGCAGGTGAGCACTGAACTTGATTTAAAACGTTCACACGTTTTGGCTTCGTATTGTACCCTTCCCTAAGATAGACTAAGCACTATAGGCAGAGGTGAGGGGACCCTTGGTTGCCATCCTCTCTCCCCTAGAGGAGGGAGGTCTCCCACCAAAGTGATCTAGAGACCACTTTCTAGAAATGCTCTGCACAGTTTAAGAGAAATTCAGGCCAGGCTTGGTGCTTCATGCTTGTAATCCCAGCACTCTGGGAAGCCGAGGTGGGTGGATTGCTTGAGCTCAGTAGTTTGAAACCAGCCTGAGCCAGAGTGAGACCCCATCTCTAAAAAAATAGCCAGGCATGGCTCAGCACCCATAGCACAGTGGTTACGGTGCCAGCCACATACACTGAGGCAGGTAGGTTCGGACCCAGCCTGGGCCAGCTAAACAATAATGACAACAACAAATATAGCCAGGCATTGAGATGGGTGCCTGTAGTCCCAGGTACGTGGGGGGCTGAGGCAAGAGAATTGCTTAAGCCCAAGAGTTTGAAGTTGCTGTGAGCTGTGATGCCACTGCACTCTACCAAGGGGGACATAGTGAGACTCTGTCTCAAAAAAAAAAAAAAAGTGTGGCCAGGCGTCATGGCAGAAGCCTGTAGTCCCAGCTACTCGGGAGGCTGAGGCAAGAGGATTGCTTACGCCCAAGAGTTTGAGGTTGCTGTGAGCTGTGATGCCACAGAGCGACAAAGTGAGACTCTGTCTCAAAAAACAAAACCAAAAAAATCTAAAAATAAAAAGAGAGAGACAGAGAGCGGTTCGTCACGGTGTCCCTCTGTGTGCGGAGGTCTGCAGTTTGTTTTTTGGCTCTGCGTGTTTTGGGTGGGCTGTCCCTGCTAATTCATTTCGTTCTAATTTATTCATTTTAACTGCACAGTACTGCATTACCCGTTTGGGCCACAGTTTATTCATCTACTCCTCTGCTGACGAACGTTCACCTATTTCCAGGATATCGCTGTTATAAGCAATGCTGCAAAAAATAGCTTCCCACTGTGCACGGGTTTCTAGGGTACAAACCTGGAAGGAAAACAACGTGGCCGTGGGGCACATGCATTTTCCACCTAGATCGGAGACTGACTATTTTTTATCAGACAGAGTCTCCCTTTGCCATCCTGGGTAGAGTGCTGTGGCATCATCATAGCTCACAGCAAACTCTTGAGCTCAAGAGCTCCTCCTGCCTCAACCTCCTAAATAGCTGGGACTACCGGTGTCTGGTTAGTTTTTCTATTTTTAGCAGAGATGGACTCTCCCTCTTGCTCAGGCTGGTCTTGAATTTCTGAGCTCAGATCCATCCACCTTGGCATCCCAGAGTGCTAGGATTACAGGCCTGAGCCACCACACCCTGGCTCTGAGGATCTACAGAGTTTCCCTTCCTGGGTCTCTAACCCACTGGAATGCTTTGTTTTGCTAACTGTCGAGGCCGGGGTCCAATACATTGTCTTTCACAGGGAAAACCAGCAGTCCCTGCACTATATGCATGGGTCACTGACTTCCCTACCTGTATATTTGTACACACACACATACACACACACATTTAGAGACAGAGTCTTGCTCTGTTGCCCAGGCTGGAGTACAACAGTAATTATAGCTCATACTGCAGCTTCAAATTCCTGGGCTCAAGTGTTACTCCTACCTCACCTTCCCAAGTTGCTAGAACTATAAGCGCCTGCCACCATGCCCGGCTAATTAAAAACAAACTTTTTGTAGAGATGGGTTCTAACTCACTGTGTTGCTTAGGCTAGTCTCAAACCCCTGGACTCAAGTGATCTGGAGTCTAGCTTTATTTCCCAGGCTGGGTAACAAATTCCTGGCCTTCCTCGGTCCTCCCACCTCTGCCTCTGAGTAGCTGATACTACAAATGTGAGCACCATTTCTGTCATATGATTTTTAAGGTGACAGAAATATGACTGTGGCCAGTGGGAATGGTGCCCCAGAGCTGTGCCATGAAGTGCCTTGGTTTCCTGTGCTGCTACCATGTCCCCGTGGCTTCAGTCATCTGGGTCCTCAGGTCCCCTCCGGTCAGGCCCATTCTTGCTTCTGCTCTGTCTCCTGTCCCTGGCCACCTCTACCTCCTTTCTGTTGAGCCAAATCCCTTCCTGAGTCTGAACCTTCCAGGGAATGTCCCTGTGAACACAGACTCACATCCACCCTGTGTGTGAGGAGCCCCAAGCACTGTAAAGGTGGCCACCATGCACTTGTGCCACCTCTCTCTAAAGGGCCACCAGCTCCTACTGTCCCGTGGAGTCAGGACATAGCTTATTCTGGCCAGGTTCACAGCGCTGGGACCCAGGTCACTTGGCACAGCCCCCTGAGTTAGCATCTTTCCCCAGGGACACCACCACCCCTCCCCTTCAGCAGGGGTAGGGGGACCCTTATCTGCACTGTGGTCCCAGCACAGGGCTAGACACACGTGGGCAGTGCCTAGGCCGTGGTGTTCCTTTATTGGGTCGCCCAACCTCCTGCTACCCTGACATAGGCTCCAACTCCTCCTGTCCCCTCCTACCTGCTCATGACGGCTGCCAGCCCCAGGGTCATAGACAGGCCTGGACATGGCATCAGGAGGTAATTACTCTCTAATTGTGTGACCCTGGGAAGCCACTCAGCTTCTCTGGGTCTAAGTTCCTTCATCTGTGAAATGGGCTGGCCACACCTAGCCCTGGAGTTACGACGAAAGAGCACACAAGGGAACATGGCCCTGTGGACACGGGCCTGCTACCCCTCTGTGCTCCCTGAGCACTGGCCAGCCTGAACCAGTGGCCTGGCCACGCGGACCTCCATCCTTGGAGGCATACTCACGTTTTCACGTAGGGGTCCGAGTAGCCGTTGGCGTCCATGGCAGCCAGGTGTGCGCAGCGCACGATGCCCACCAGCAGGCCCTGCTTTTGAGAGCTGTACTTGAGGGAGATGAGGATGCGGCCCCGCTCCTCCAGCGACTTGTCCTCCGTCTTGTCCACCTGATGGGCAGGGCAGTCACTCGGGAGTCCTCCTTGGCTCCCACCTTGCCCTTGGCCTCCTGGGTGCTAAGCCTGCCAGCCCGCCACTGCCCCCGTCTGGCCTTGTAGGGCTGCGGTTACCACCGTGTCCTGACAGGTTTTCTGCCCATCTCTCCCCTCCCAAGGGGGGGTTCTGCCTGGGGTAGAGTCTGACCCCAACCCTCCCCACCAGCCTAGGGGTTGGCAGGCTCAGCCGAGGGCCAAATCAGGCCCTGCTCCCCCGCGGCCAGACGGGGGCAGCTAAAAGTGGTTCTTATCTTTTCAAATAGCAGAAAAACTCCTCCATGTCTGCAAATAAAGCCACACTGCCCTCTCAGTTGATGCTTTCACAATGGCGACAGTGTTCTGCTCTGTCCTTCCTCATGGCCCAGCCCTGACTTCCTCTGCAGTCTCTAGGCTCTGAGGTCGCGTCACACCTCCCTGCCTTTGCTTGAGCTGTGCCAGGGCTCGGCACTCTCTCCCCCAAGTCCCCTCTCCCCCAACCCTGCCCCGTGCTCCTCCAGCTCTGCTCTGCTCACTATTGGTGGATTTCTGGTCCTGCTGGGACTGGGCTCAGCTGAGCGGCCTCAGCCTGAGTGCTTCCCTGGCCTCTGCAGTGGGCAGTCCCAGTTCCGTGCTCTTTGCTCCCTCTGTCCACAGCACGGTTTGCCCACCTGTTGCCTCGTGTGTCTACCCATAGCCTCTAAGTTCCTTGAAGATGGGATTCTGTCTACATCATTTCTGAACCGCCAGGTTTAGGTGAGGCTGCGTGGGTACTGCTGGAGGCTTGTCCTAATGACGGCGGGAATGGATGGACAGATGGTCCCCTCTGGGTTCAACCTCATGCCAGCAACTCCAGCTTGGGCAGATTCAGAGAAACGTCAAAAGGTTTGCCCAGGCTGAATGGAGCCCCATGAGAGGTAAGGGGTCATCCTGGCCTCAGCCCCCTCAAGGTTCTTCCTGGAGACTCTTCAGGGTGCTGAAGGTGGCCCCCTTTGGGGGAACCCAGAAGACAGAACTTGGATGTATCTCCAGCCTTGAAGGGGGAGGTACAGTCAGGTGGGGAAGCCACCTAGGACCCTCCTATGCCTTGATGGCTGCCCAGTGCCTGCCTCTGGGATCAGACTTCAGCTCCAGGCCTTTCCACCCTAAACCAACCTGATGTGTCTCTGATTTTTGCCCTCCTGAAACCACCTGTTTCTTTTTTCTGGCTGCTACACACCTGGAACCCCCCCTCCTGTGCCCTCTGCTCACTCATACACCCAAACTTGAGCCCCATGTCCCCAGGGACCCCTCCTTAAGCCTCTCTGCCAGGATCCTCTCCCACAGAGTCCCAGCCACACCCCTTGGCCCACAACTGCTCTGCCTGGCACTAAACTCAGTCCCCACCTGGCCACATCTAAACCTCTCTGGAGATGAGACTCTTGTGAGGTGAAGGAAGGGACACTAGGCAGGGATGACACACATATGTCACTCACAGGCCACCCTTCTCCAACACCCAAGCCCAGAGCAGACACTGCTAATTGATCCCAGCATTCACCATGAACTCAGCGTCCTTCTCAACACAGTGCTGGGGTGGCTGCTGGCAGTGGGTCAGGCTGGGCGTGTGAGATTCAACTATCTGGGATATGGGGGTGTGTGTGTGTAAGAGAGCCTCACAAGCTGTATATCTTGTGCCAGTTTGTGTGACATGTGAAAATTAAATAACATACATGAGCAGGGATATTTTTAGTTGTTTTTTCAGGGATTTTTTTTTTTTTAAAGAGTTGGGGTCTTCTTATGTTGCCTAGGTTGGTCTCAAACTCCTGGGCTCAAGTAGTCCTCTTGTCTCAGCCTCCCAAGTAGCTGGGACTACAGTTGCCTACCATCATGCACCAGATAATTTTCCTATTTTTGTTTTGTTTTGTTTTGTTTTTTTGCAGGTTTTTTTTGCCAGGGCTGAGTTTGAACCTGCCACCTCGGTATATCAGGCTGGCGCCCTACTCCTTTAAGCCGTAGGCGCTGCCCCTATTTTTCTATTTTTTTGTAGAGACAAGGTCTCCTGGCCTCAAGCAGTCCTCCCACCTTGGCCTCTGAAAGTGCTAGGAACACAGGTGTGCGCCCCTGCACCCAGCTCAGGGTGGATATCATACCCGGGGTGGTTTCACATGAAGACCACCGGGAACTGTTCAGTATTTACTTAGAACTGATCGTGTTTGCAGACTGAGATCTAAAATGTGCCACCAAAATGTATCTTTCCTGCCAGAGTGGTTCTCCTAAACTGCCCTCCTGGGGTCACTGTGTGTCCCAGAACTGCACCAATGAGCTTGCAGCAAATCCAAGCAAGGATGAGTGATGCCCTAGGCAGAGCACACGCAAACACACACTCACACACGTAGACACACATGCACACGCCCAAACACACTTGTGCGCGTGCACACACATGCTCTCACACATGGGCTCCTACACACAATGCACGTCTGTATGCACACACACACATACCAGGCATGTTCACACCTGCACACATTTCCACACAATTGTTTGTCTTTGCCAGGGATCAAAACACGGCAACACCAATACAGTAGGGGCTGCTGTTGCCTTTCATAAGTGACATAGATCATTTGCAAAAACTGGGTTACCTGTGGTTAGTGACTAATAATAAAACAGAAAAGGTTATATCCATCACAGGAACGCCTGTGAGTGGGAGAGAACGTGTCAAGGGAATGAAATTTGATCAAATTATGCAAAAAGACAGACCTGGGTGGGAGTCACATGGATTCTGGCAGGAAGCACTGGCCACAGGGTAACTTGTTCCTATAGCTCAATTGGGGCCGAGCTCGCTGAGCACCCACGTCCTGAGGCCCAGACCCCATCGGGTGGGGGACAGCCACTGGGCTTTGTCTACCAAGCCTGCCCCTGGCTCAGGCCTTGTGGGGCTAATGTGCCTCAGAGAGGACTAGGCCTCTGCCCACGTCCTGGGCACAGGGTAGCTGAGGGCACTGTTTCTCTTGACCTCTGGGGCATTGGGGACTCCTGGCCAGCTCCTTCTAGCCCTTCTGAGCCAGGTGATGATGAGGCCATAGAGAGAGGGGAAAGGTGAGCAGAGAGGACAAAGAGACTGGGACTCTGGGAGGGCACAGCTGCTGCAGCCAGCCAGGAGGTAAAATCTGCTCTGACATAATTTTCAAACAACTGCAGTTTCTAGGAAAGAATTATCTTCCGTCTCCTCTGGGTACCTCACCAGCACCTCGAGCCTGACATGCTCCAGTTGTGCTCTGTCCGCATCCCCGAACCTGCCTCACTGAGGCCTCCCAGCCCACGCACCCTCCCCCGCTCACCGGCAGCTGCTTCTCCAGGCAGATGCTGAACGTCTTGGTGTGGTTGGGTTTCAGCTTCTTCAGGGGCACTCGCGTCTCCCCGATGAACTCATTGTGGCGGAATTTGTCCTCATCACACACAGAGATCCTGGGGGGTAAGAGGCACAGCCAGCGCCTCAGACACTGCTGCATGGGGCGCCCCCAGTGTTCGCCCACAGTCCGTGGGGATCTGCATGTGGTGGGCTGGGGGCTGGGGGAGCGGGTGGCGGGGCCCTCACCCACCGCAGGGTCTTGCGGATCATGTCTTCGTCTGTGATCCCGTAGTAAGTGAGGGTCTCATTCCACGTGGGGTTCAGAGTGTTCCGCAGAGTTTTTGTTCTGAGCTTGTTTGCCTGGGAAAAGAAAAAAATGATTTCACTAAGCGTTGAAGAGTAGCAGAATAACAAACCCAAGATGGCCATGTCTCAATCCCCGGAGCCTGTGAATATGTTATGTGGCGGGGCAAGGGATACTGGGGCTGTAGGTGGAATTTAGGCTATTAGCTCGCTGACTTTTAAATAGGGAGGGCATCCTAGATTATCTGGGTGGCCTGATGTAGTCACCGAGGTTGTTAAAGTGGAAGAGGGGACAGGAGAAGAGGGTCAGAGTGAGACACGACTAAGGAGGAAGCCCAGAGAGATGTGATGTGGCTGGCATTGAAGATGGAGGAAGGGGCCACTAGCCAAGGAATCCGGGTGGCCTCTAGAAGCTGGGTAGGGCTGGGAAACGGGTTGTTCCCCAGGGCTCCAGAAGGAATGCTGCTCTGCTGACACCTTGGTTTTTAGCCCAGTGAGCCCTATGTTGGACTTCTGGCCTGCAGATGGTCAGATGCCAAGTGCGTTGTTTTAAGCCACTAAGTTTATGGTCTGGTGTTGAGCAGCCATGGGAAGCTAACACCAGGAGGAGGATCCTCTCCAGATCCCTGGTGGCATGGAGTGTTCTGTAGAAGGCTGTGGAAGCCTAGTTGTGGAACTGGACTCCTTCCCTCCATGGAGTCCATCCTCTCCTAGACAATGCCACGTGGGCACCTCCATGCCTCCTCCCTGCTTCTGTAGGTCTTGGTTCTCACACTGTTGACTTGCCCTGCCCCACCAGACTCTGAGCTCTGTGTCTGATTCACTCTGATGTCTACCACACCTGGCTGAGGCCGGGAGGTCAGACAGCCCAGATCACAGTCTCGGCTCTGTGGGTGCCCAGCCGGTGCTGACCCATGGTCAAAGTCAGGTCCATAAGGCCACAGAAGTGCCTCTCCCTCATGCTGTTTTCAGGAGCTTGTTTATATGGAGACTGCTCTTTATAAAAAGCTGCCCTCTGTCAGAGAGTCCACCACAAAGGGACTCTCAGCAGCCAGGTCCTGCCCACCCTGGGTGCCCTGGTCACACTCGACCTTGGCCTTCACATCCCTGAGCCTCACTAGCAACACTGAGGCCTGGGGGGTGGGGGGAGCACTGCCTCCCCACCCCACCCCCCGCCTCCCTTAGAAGAGGAATGAGGAATAACAGCCTCTTCTGGGGCAGCCCCCTGGGTGGTGGGAACCCCAGCCCTACACACATAAACCTCAAGTCAACTCAGGCTTTGCCTCATGAAATTGGAAATAAAGCAACGCTGAACTAATCAAGTTCTTACTTTGCTGTGCTGACGTTACCTTGACAGCAGCGTTTCCTCTCCTTTCCTAGCTGCTCCTGTTGTGCTGGTGCCCTAAGTATGTGTGTGGTCTGCTGGTGGGTTATCCGGCAGGGGTACAGACAGGGTTCTGTGGTCAAGTACACTGGGCTGATACTGCTCGCTCTGTCCCCCTTATGAAGAGTTATGGAACAGCCCAGCCCCATCATCAACACATTGAAGGCTCTGAGTTGTGCAGTAAAGAAAATTGTTTAACAAAGTTTCCCAATGTTATGTGACCACAGAGCTCTTTTTTGCATATCATTTAAACCTCCAGTTGAGAATGCTTCTTGTAAACTGCTGTCCCAGAAATTCTCTGGGGTGGGGGTGGGGGGTGGTTTCAGTAGCTTAGCAGGAATGCCGATTCCTGAGGCCCCTGGGAGGCCTGGAGGCTGTGGGGCTGACCGGGTGCAGGTATGGAGGTGAGTGGTGGAGGTCTCATCAGTTGCTTGGACTCTGAGGGAGAGGTGAGCGGTGGGCCTCCCTGGACGACCCTAGCCCAGCCCAGGTGGGCACAGCTGGTGAGCAGGCCTAACCCCCTCACCTTACTGGCTCCAGGCAGCAGGTGCAGCTTGACGTAGGGGTCCGCCAACCCATTGTGGTCCATCGGCTTCAGGCCCTGAGCAGAGGATAGCAAAGAGTGTGAACTGCACATCTCTGAAAAGTGCCCTGGGTCAGCAGGTGTCCCTTGTGCTCTGGGTCTCCTGGCTGGGTCCATTTGTGGCCTCTTTACAGAAGCCCCCTGGCCCCACAGCCCCTACATGAGTGAGGATGGCTCTGTGCTCGTGTAATCTCCCTCCCCAAACCTCCCAGCCCAGGGCAGCTGTTGTGGGGGTCTTTACTGGGACAGCCTTCTCTTGCTATTCTTCTTATCATGGAAGCCCAGTGACACACCTTCCTCAGGCCCTTTCCTCTTCCTGAATCCCTCCCCTTGTTTTCCAAACATGGCCTCCTGTGTGACAGTTTCCCTCACAGACCCTAAATCCATGAACCTTTGTCCACACATCCCCACACTTCCCTGTGTGGCCTAGGGAAATGTTCAGGGTCCCAGGAGACTGGGAGAGACGGGGCCTCATCTCTCTGGTTTTCCACGGCTCCTAGTCATGCACTGAGGTCACACAAGCCAACTGGCCGCAGTGGGGGGGCCTCCACAAGATGGCACCCCTCACTAATTCTGCTTCCAGTTCCTTCCGAAACAGCCAAATTCACACAGCCAGGGAACAAAATGGGGCTTAGCTAACCTCCTGCTGGCTCTTATTTCTGAAAATTATGTTTTTTCCTTCTGAGTTGGATGTAAGAGAGGGCAGTGGGGGCATCTATGGAGGGGAAACAGCAACCCCAGGGCGTGCTTCAGAGTCTTCTATTCAACCAGGCAGGGAGGCAGCTTGGCCCACAGGAGGCCCAACTGAGAGGAGCCTGAGACTTTTTTCCCAAGCCCTGCTCCCCCAGGGTTTGGAGGCCAGGCTGGCTGGGATGCGGGTCCCAGCTCCTGCACTTCCTAGCTGGGGATATGGATGAGTCACTTTGTGCCCTAAGCTCCAGCTTTGTTAGTGAAAGCTGATATTAACCCCTGGGAGGGGTTACCAACTTGCCAGGTGGGAGGAGAGGGAAGGAGGTAACACATGCAGGGCCTGGCAGGCCGGGCGTCACTCCCTCCTTTACAAGCCAGGCCCCTGGGAAGACGCCAGAGAAGTGCTGTGGGCAGATGGGGTCCCTGAGCTGTGTCCTGTATGATGCAGCCACCGGCTCTGGGATGGGGCTCGCCTCTGCCACCCTGTGTGCACCCACAGTGCCAAGGATGCCTTTCCAAACCCAGCTCCTTCATCCTGGCCTCTCACCATTTCCCACCAAGTGTCCAGAATGCAGAGTCACCCAGAGGAGTCTGGTGGCCCAGAGAGTGGGGTGGTGGGGCGTCTCAACCCTTGTGTTTTATTTTTATAATTCTTGTACATTTGTTTGTTGTAGCTGAAAATGGGATCATATTTTCTGACCCCATTTACACATTTCACGTGTAAATCTCTGGGCCACCAGAGGTTCTGGGATGTTTATTCAGGGTCTCTGGTGGTCCCACCTGTGTACCCTGGGGTGCTCAAGGGGCCTCAGCAGGGGGAGAGGGGATGCTGCCAGCCTGGGAGGGGAGTGACACCTGCTCTGTGACAGAGCTCCTTGCTGCCTGCTTCCATTCCTCCCAGCTTGTCCCTGATCACCCTGGCTGGTCACACACTTGTCCAGAAGCATAATGAACCTGTGGGCACTGCCTGAAGGCCACAAAACTGGCTTGTCACTGTTTTTTTTTTTTTTGGCCTGGGCTGGGTTTGAATCCACCACCTGCAGTATATGGGGTATACTCCTTGAGCCACAGGCGCCACCCCTTGTCACTGGTTTTTGTGTCCTGGCTCAGCCTTTCTACCTGCAGCCTCCTTGGGGCATGAGGCAGGGCCTCCACCCATCCCTCTGTCCACAGCAGGGGTCAGAAGGAACTGTTAAGGGGGACCTTTGGGGCAGAACTTCTCCAGTCTGCAAGAGACCAAAACTGACCCCATGGCAGGGGCTGGGTCTCATGGGAGGGATAGCAGAAGAAGACCTGCCAGGTCCTGGCTGCCGTTGAAACTGAGGGGACAGATTGGGGGTTTCTGGCTTTGAGAGGGGAGCCTTCCCACCCTTGCCCCTCCCTGGGCCTCTCAGGGGCTGTTGCTGGCTGAAGTGTTCAGGAAAAGGGCTCCTAGTGTCAAATATCATTCAGTCTTTAAAAAGAAGGAAATTCTGACACTTGCTGCAACACGAAGGCACCGCCAAGACGTGGTGCTCGGTGAAATAAACCAGTCGTAAAAAGACGAATAGTGCACGATTCCATTTATAGGAAGTGCTGAGAGTCCTCAAATTCGTAGCGACAGAAAGTAGAAGGGTGGTTGCCAGGGGCCGGGGGAGGGAGGGTGGGAGCCGCTGTTTAACAGGCACAGACTTTCAGTTTTGCAGGATGAAGTGAGTTCTGGGGATGGCTGCACACCAAGGCGAATATACTCAACACCACTGACCTGCACGCTTGAAAATGGTTAAGATGGGGAATTTTATGTTTGTGCATTTTACTACAATAAAAAAGAAAACAACAACAATAACAGAGTCTCCCGAGACTGGCGGTGCTGCTGAGGTTTTGGCAGCTTCTTTTTTGCACAAGTGTTCCCGGAAGTGTGCAAACCGCCCAGTGCTGTCCTCCAGGGCAGCATTGGTCTGGAACACATACAGGTGCTGGGTGGGGGGGCCCAAGAGCTCACAGTACCTGCAGAGGTGAGGGTGATCAGCCCTGTCTACAGCTGGGCAAACTGAGACTGACCTTTACCCAGAGGGTGGGTGGCCATGGGAGGGTGCAGTCCCATAAGTATCCCAGAACCCCTGAGAGGCCTGTATCAGTCCTGCTTCAGCTGCCTGTCCTGGGCTCCTTCCTACACCCAGGCCAGAGTCCCACCCCCTTCTCTGTAGAACTGGATTCACACAGAGAAGGAACTAGAGGCTGGCAGTACCCCTCTAGCCTTCCACCTCCCACCTTGATGCCTGAGGTATACAACCCTAAGTGGACACACACGCATATGTGTGTATGCAGGTACACAGACACATACAGGTATGTGCATGCATGCATACACCTGCCTCCAGGCAGGGAAGGTGGGCACATGTCACAGGGAGGGGAAGGGGGCTCTAGCTGGGGTGGGTTCTAGGCATAGTGGCCTGGCAGCCAGTGTCGTTCCTAATCCCCAAGCCTAGATGACCTCTACAAAGCTTGGCTAAGGGAAAGGAGGGGTCTACCCAGGTCCTGAAGCCTGGCCTCCATCTTGGCACAGCTCGGGGGTGGTCACCAGAGGCTGAGCTCTGTTCCGAGGGAGAGGTCTGGGAGCCCCTGGGAGGCAAGGCTGGGCATGCTGAGTCACAGCCTGGTTAGTTCCCAGAGGGGAGGGGAGAGGTGGGAAAGGAGTGTGAGGACCTCCAAAGCCCAACCAAGGCCTTGGGCCCATCGTGACGGTACTCATGATGGGCCCAGGGCCACGGCCATGGCAGTGTGGTAGCCCAGGCTGGAGGGACAGAGGGAAGCCTGAGGGCTGGGGAGGCTGGGGGTGGGCCTGGGCCCAGGCAGCTCTTCGGGGAGGCCCTCATCAGAGCTGGGCTGGCTCAGGCCCTTCCCCTGCCCTACTAGGGGGTTCTACTGGCCACACAGGCCCTTACCTTTCGAGAGAACATCAGCTTTGGCACCTTCCTCCCAGAGGGAGCCATGTGGTGGGGGGACAAGGCGACAGGACAGTTGAGAACACAGAGCTGATGCTTGCTAGCTCATGGGGCAGAGCCGGTCACAGTGGGGTCCACAGATACCCATGACCCAGCCCAGACAGCGAGGCTCAGGGGGCCTTTCTAGCTCAGCCCCTGACACACCAGAAGAGCAATTCCTTGGATGCCACAGGGGAAATCCACTGTTTGGGGCGTCTGGGAGGCCTGGGGCCATCTGCATCCCACCCTCGCTTGCCGCTCTGGACAGACCAGACACGTCACCTCCCCTTCTTCCCTCTCAACCTGGTTGGTGGGGGGCTCTGTCCAGGCCTGCACCCTCCCGTTCCCTTCTGCTCCTTTTCCTTGTTCTGCTCCTTCTCCCAAATGTCTGGTTCCCCAAGGCTTTTTTGGGGAAGTAGGCAGCCAAGGTGGGTTAGGCAAAAATTACCTCCCAGCCCCGCGCCCCACATAACACAGACATGAAACCTGAACAGGACATGGGGGAGGACTGGCCTCCTAGACCCTGGCCCTTCTGTGGGGACCCTGGCATGGGGGTGGAGGGTGGTGGCGGGCCTACCTTGGCCTTGCTGATGGTGCAGTGGAGAGCATTGCTTTCCTGGTCATAGAGCAGGCTGAAGTCCAGTGTGCCCAGGGCAGCTGTGGACAGAGTAGAGCACATGTCACGTGTCAGTTGCAGTGTGGAGCAACTTCACCCACTGGTGTGGCCAGAGAGCCTGCCCTTGGCAGGTGCCATGGTCCCCACGGCAACTGCCACTAACTAAGTACCTACTGTATGCCAATCCCTCTGCCCATCCTCGAAGCTCCACCCAACCACTGGAAATGACAATATTCTCCCCATGCTCCAGATGAGGAACTGAGGCTCACTGAGGTTGGGTGGGTCACCCCAGTCACCTGCAGCTGGCCAGTGTGCTGTCCTTGGGCTAATGGAGTTCTTGCTCTCCTTGTGCAACTGCCAGTTTAGGCTTTGTGCCTCAGTTTCCCTCTCCTGTGGAATGTCTCAGGGATTGCGTGAGAAGGCAGAAGAGGTAAGGCTTTGAGATGTGAGGGCCCTGGCCAGGGAGACCAGCTGATCCACTCTCCCATCCCACAGGCAACATGTAGGATGACAGCTCTTCGGTCCCTTTGGGGACCTGGTTTGGCTGCAAGGAGCCAGCTGGGTCCTCATGTGGTTGCCCGCACATCTCTCAAAGGCAGCCAGGATTCCCAAGGGCCAGGAGGAGGGTGCAGCAGTAATCAGTGCAGCTGACCCATCAGGGGCACTCACGCTGAGCAGCTGTGGCCTTCCATGCACAAGTGGCTCCCAGCATGAAGGCTGAGGAGGTGGTGACTGACAGACCTTGGGGGCAGGCCTCACACAGCAAGATGCACAGTCACAGATGTGTTCAGAAGCCCAGTGCCTGCTCCCAGGCTGCTGGGATGGTCAACTGGTGTCCCATTCATTAATTATTTCCCAAGCGTTTATAATATACCCAAGTCTAGGCTGGAATATATCCATAAAGCAAGGAAAGCACTGCTTAATTCAAGGAACATATGGAAAAAACTGGCCACAACTGAATTTAGTGAGCTAGGAGCCATGGGGAGCCCAAGGAAGGCTCCCTAGTCCCTATGTAAACCGAGTCTATCAGGGAAGGCTTCCTGGAAGAGGTAATATTTCACTTGAGCCACCATGGATGAGTGGGAGTTGGCCAGTGGCACAGTGGGGCCAGGACTGGGGACATTCTAACCATAGGCCAATCAGTAGGTGTGGGCTTAGTGACTGGAGTGATTCAGGGGTGAGAGAGGGGCTAGCCTTGACTCTTCTTCAGGCAAGATTTTGAGTAGACTCCCAGCGTGGATCTAGACTGGTTATGGCCTGCTGGCCCAATCTGGCCATGCCCAGCTGTTTATATGCTGCTGGTGGCAGCTTTCCCACTGCAGAGTCAGGGGATGCAGCACAGAGCGTGTGGCCTGCAAAGCTGGAAATATTTATAATTGGGCTCTTTACAGAAAAAGTTTCCACCTCCCTGGGCTGGTGCTGGGACCAGGCATGCTGCAGTTTCTTGGGTCTGCAAGGAAATGGGCAAATTCAGGCCCTGGTGTTTGGAGCTGCCCCTCACTCTGATGATGTGCCACGCTGGTCTTCCTCTCCATGTCCTCACTCAGGGTGCGGCATGTCTCTCAGGTCCCTGTCGTTGCCTGCAGCACAGTGTGGGGTGTGAAGCCTGCCCTCTGACATCCCTCTCCGAGGTTCACATCCCAGCTTGGGACTTCCCTGCTGTGTGACCTTAGATAGTTTATCTAACCTCATAATGCCTCAGTTTCCATCTGCAAAATGGAAACCAGAATTGCATCCACCTTACAGCACATAGCGCCTGGGCTACAGAAGGTGCCCAGGAGATAATTATAGAAGGAACAGGTCCATTTAGGTGAGTTTTCTACAGAACTGTACTTGCCCCTCTGAGACCCATTCTGGAATAAAACTCTTTAAAACTGGATCATTCCCCTCTCTGCCTTTGGGAACAGAATATACAAATGGTCACTTAAGCTTTTCTGAATAACCTGAGTCGTTGCTATAGCTACGATTACTCTTCCCTCTGTCACAGTCCTAGCCCAGATACAGAAGGGGGTGGGAGGCCGTCCCTTCACCAGGTGGTCTGCTTTTGATTTTCTTTGTTTTTCTGCCCACTCTGTTGCAACTTCTATCAGAGTACTTGCCTCTGGCAGCACAAGTAGCTGGGACTATAGGTGCCCGCCACAATGCTCTGCCATTTTTTTGTTGTAGTTGTCATTGTCGTTTAGCTGGCCTAGGCTGGGTTCGAACCTGCCAGCTCGGGTATGTGTGGCCAGCGCCAAAACCACTGTGCTATGGGAGCCCAGCTTTTTTGGGGGCTCACTCTTGCCCAGGCTAGAGTGCAGTGGTGTCAGCCTAGCTCAAAGCCTCAAACCTCAAAGTCCTGGGTTCATAATCCTCCTGCCTCAGCCTCCCAAGTAGCTAGGACTACAGGTGTCTGCCACAGTGCCTGGCTATTTTTTCTGTTTTTAGTAGAGATAGGGGGTCTCGCTTTTGCTCAGGCTGGTCTCCAACTCCTAAGCCCAAGTGATCCTTCCACCTTGGCCTCCCAGAGTGCTAGGATTACTGGTGTGAACCACTGCACCTGGCCACCTCTCTCCTTTCCAGTGTTTTTTTTTTCTGTGAAACCGGGTGATAATACTTATTAGACTTCTACCAAAACTAAGAGTCAATAGGCCTTGGGTGGAGCCTGAGGTACTTATTCCTGAGTAGAACACGTGTGCTGTAACCTCATTGGCCATTTGCTGCCTGCATCCTGGCTCCCGCCTCTGCAGGGCGGCAGGCGAGGGTCCTGCATAGAGGTGTATTATACCTCACTACTCCCGTAACAACGGACACAGCCACAGGCCCAAGATTCAAGTCCATGCTTTTGGAGCAATAGTCTCCAAAGCTCTTGTCTGTACACGGTAGTAAATCACTCTGCTGTTCGGTCCAGGCCTACCCTAACACATTAGCCTCCCAAGAGCAGGGACCAGGTCTTGGCCATGCCTGTGAGACCAGCAAAGAGCAGGTACACATGGCTGTTCTCTTCAAACCAATATGCTCTCCAGTTGCACACAGGAATGGGGACTTGGTGTGATGCCCAAGTGTTAAAATGCACATTCTCCTTCTGCCTGTCTCCCACCCCCACAGGACAAGCCAGCAAGGTGGAGGAGCTGCCTGTTCCCCACTGGAAAGGTCAGCTCTGGAAGGGGAGAGGAGCCCCTTTCACTGGCTCTACAGAAACTCCTGGTTAAGGAGGGCTTGGATGCTGCTCAGAGGAAAGTCAGCACCTGTTGCCACTTCCTGGGAAGGAACAGCAAGCCCAGTGTGTCATAGGAAGGGACTGATGGATGCGTGTGAATTCCACTGGAAGCTTTGTAAGAAATGATAGTTTATAAATAGAAGCTTGGCCACAATTTTGAGAGACTTGCCGGTGTTATGGCCCAAAGTCTTCATTTCCCTTTCAGATAAAGGAGGCTCAGAGAGGGGAGGTGAGATGGTCAGGGTGGCCCAGCAGAGCTGGACATAGAAGCCAGGTCTCTTTACTTCCATCCGGACAGTTTGTTCCTTAAAGCCTCATGGCTTCCAAAAACTTTTTTGTTTGCCATTTTGTTTAGCTGAAATCTTAGGAGGATACAACTAAGAAACAAAAGAAAAACAGAATTTCTCTTGGGGAAGGACAGTTGGGCTTGATGGGGCCCTGGAGGGACCTCTGAGCCGAAAAATCACCTAGGGCTTCTAGTGGGGGTGAAGAGGGTCCTCAGGGCAGTGAAAGGTGTGTCTCTGTGTGAGTCACAGAATTCTGCCCTGCCCTGCCCTTGGAGCATTCAAATCACATGCCCCACTAAAGTTTACATCTTTGGAAAAATAATGAGGGTTGGTCACTAATGGGCCTTTGAGAGTTGTCACCCGCTTGTTGATAATTATAGAGCTTTAATGGGGCTAATTCAGACAAAATCAAGCTCAAGCCCCTGTCGGTTCCTCCAAGGCCGAACCTCCCTCTGCTCGGCTGATGGAGACTGACAGCATTGTTATGACCTTGCTTTGCACCTGAACTCTTCTGACCTATACATCCTCGGGTGATTTTTTTTTTTTTTTAAAGAAAAATGTAAGCTTCCCAAATAGAAAAGAAAAAAAGAAAGAAAGAAAGAAGCAAGAACCATAAGAAATTATCAAGACTGAGTTGAAGGTGTGTCACAGTTTGGGAAGTGAGGCACTAACCCGGCAGGTACTGCAGGGGAGCCAGAGAGGAATGAGCCATACCTTCTTGCTTCCCAGGAGCTTAGAGGCAGAAGGTTAGGGTTTTATCAATCTTTTCATTCCTCTGCTTTAAATGGTTCAAAAGTTCTCCACAACTTCCTGGACTCAGTTCAATCTCCATGATGTGGCTTTCAAGACCTTTTGTGATACGACCACTTTGGCCTCATCATTAGTCTATTCCCTTCTTTCAGCCACTTGACTCTATTGTTTTGCCTCTGCTGGGCTGTGTTTCTGACACTTAAGGGCCAGTGCACACAGCTGTCGCTCTGCCAGAAGCACCATCCCTTCCTCCCACTTCCCAGCATCAGAGCTGAGCCCTCTCTGTGGGTGCCCTCTGTGCAAGCCAGAGCTTCCTGTTTGTGTCTCCACCTCCCTGTCCCTCACTGCTGGTTTTGGTGAATACCCTGAAGTCAGAGGTTGTGTCTCAGGGATTCTTGTATCTCTGTCTCTAGCACGGTGCCTGGCATATAGTTGGTGTTGTAATGCTGAGCACGTGAAAATATGATAACAGCTCTGGGCAGAATATGACTAAGGCCAAAAGAAGTTCTGGGCTCACAGAAAGAACCACAGCCAGTGGGGACCAGGATAAGACTTTCTGCTGAGGGCTCGGCGCCTATAGCTCAACCGGCTAAGGCGCCAGCCACATACACCTAAGGTGGCGGGTTCGAATCCCCAGCCCGGACCCGCCAAACAACAATGACGGCTGCAACCAAAAAATAGCCAGGCGTTGTGGCGGGCACCTGTGGTCCCAGCTGCTTGGGAGGCGGAGGCAGGAGACTCGCTTGAGCCCAGGAGTTGGAGGTTGCTGTGAGCTGTAATGCCATGGCACTCTGCCCAGGGGGACAGCTTGAGGCTCTGTCTCAAAAAAAAAAAAAAAAAAAAGACTCTCTGCTGATGAGAGACCTTGTGGCAGACCCAACCGCCATCCCTCCACTCTGCCCTCGCCCCAGACCTTCATGGCTTGGTCAAGCCCCCAGGTGAACTGTGCAGAGGCAGGCTTAAGCTTGGGCAAATGATGCAACTCTGGCTAGTGGGACAAAAGAACAGGTCTCCTGGGGACTTCTGAGAGAGGTTTCCGCTCTTAAACTGTGACATAGGCGAGAAAACTGGTCCTTATCAAACTTAGGATCTTACTGTTAGCTGCAATGCCACCTTGGGCCATAAGGGTCCTGCTTGGCTTATGGAAACTTAACAGCATTATGACCCTGGTTTGTACCTGGACTCTCCTCACTCAGTCACCCTTGGGAATAGGAAATCTGCCTTGATTTTCAGGAGTAGTTTTCTGTTACTTGCAACCCGAGCATCCTGGTCATTACAGCTTTGAAAGAGGGATTGGGTTTCCACAGGTGGGGAGAGGCAGGAGGGCGTCTCAGGCAGGAGCAGCATGTGTGGGGGTGTGGGGCACTGGGAGGGTGGCCGCAGGTGGTGTCCTCCTCCCACAATCACTGCCTTCCCTCCCTGCCAGCACCCTCCCTGAGATCTGCTGGGAACATGTGAGTCGTGTGCTTGTGCGCTGACATGACTTAATAAAGGAGGGGCTTAAGAGAAGGGGAGTAAGGCAGAGTAAATAAACAGTGCTTCACCCTCTGCCTTGGACAACAGAACAACCGCCCTCATTTCTTTTTGTCAGAACAGAGATAATCCAATAATTAGGGCAGCAAATAGCATAACCCTGGCTAAAGCCGTAATGAACCATCTGGCTTGAATCATTCAGGCTTATTCCAGGGATCTGGCTGTCACACTTCAGAGGGGGGCACAGCCTAGGGTACAAGGTGGAAGGCAGTCCCACCCCAGAACCTGTTCCCCCTACAGACAACAGCCAAGACTTCTTTTCCCATGTCTGGAACATCTGTTCAACCCCTGATGGGATCCAAGCCTAAGGTGGGCCGTCCCTTAAAAGGGCCAAGGGTTGCCCAAGAGAGCCCTGGCTCGGCCTCACCCCCTCCTCCTTGGCATTTCTTTAGTGTGCCCTGATGATATGGGTGTGGCCCATCTGCAGTTCAAGCTGGCAAAACTGTGTCCAGCACTGTCTTATACTACTGACCCCATATGAGTCTGTCCTTCTGTCCCCTGCTACGACATATGTGTGCTCTGAGTCCAGGAATACAGCAGTGTGCTTTGCCCCACGCCCTACTGCCAGGACAGCGCCTAGGGAAGGATTGTTGAGTTGGTAGATTAGAGATGGGGCTGCTGGCCTGAGTCAGAAGCTCTGTGGTCCCCTCCTCGCCTGTAGGTTCAGAGAGCCAAAAGAAATGACCAGATATTTCACCTCTTGGCATTATGTCATCCAGAGGGCTCCTGTGGCACCAGGAGGGTGGCCGGAAGCAATGCCTTGCCCTGCTTGCTCACTGCCTTGTTATAGCAGCAAAGATGCTGGAAATGGGAACAACTTCCTCACCCTTTCTTCCAGGGGGGCTTTGGATTCAGGGCAGCCAAAGGGGTGACCTGGGTCGTAGTTGGGCCTGCCCAGCAGCACAGCAAATGAGGGGGTGAGCTTAGCACAGGGTGCCAGGAGCTGGGGGAGGGGATGGATCCAGGGCACAGCTCTGTGGGCAATAAACTCTGCCGACCCAATTTCCCCAGGCTGGCAGGGAAGTGGAGGGAGAGGATTGCTCCCTGCCCCCATGCCCAGGGGGCAGGCCCTCCAAGAGCCAGGCACTGGCTAGAGGGCTGTGGTTCAGGCCTCCAGAAAGTGCACAGCAGGCAGTTTCCCCACAGAGGCCGGTTTTAGCCGCCACTGCAGATGGGTCTCCTCCTCAGGCACCGGGATGAGGGTCTGCACCCTGGGGTGGTACTGGAATTCCCCACCTTCAGCTTGATTTTATGTTCCGGGAAAGTCCAAACCCTGAGCTCAGAAGCCCTGGTGAGTGACGGGGACATGTGCAGACACTCTTGCTGAGCAGAGGAGGAGAGCGAGTGGGCCCTGGAGAAGCCCAAAGGGACTGCTGAAAGGTCCATATCCCAGGGGTTGACTCTGGCTTTCCATGTTTGAAAGATGTGGCTGCAACCACAGCTCGGCTGGGACATCCACGCGGCGTCCCCCCATCCCCACCCCCACCCTGCGCAAACTGATTCCTCACTAGACCTAGACCTTTTCCCGCCTCAGTTTCCCAGCCAGTCCTGGGTCGGGCCAGGCAGGCAGCCTCACGGACTGGAAAAGGTGCCCGAAGCGCCCGGCAGTGCGGGCCTTGGCCCCGGGGACCTCGGCGCTCCAATGCTCTCTGGGGCTCGGGGCTCAGTGCCCGCAGTAGGGGTGGGGAATGGGGCCCCTCCCTGCCCCGGGAAGCTAGAGTAACAGGTGGGCGAAGGCCCACGGCCCTGGCTAGCGCCCCGGTGGGGTCCACGGACGCAAGAGGAACCTCCAAGGTTTTTCCAAAGGACAAGGAGCCCCGCCGTCCTCCCTGGTCCTCGGCCAGCGCGCCAGCAAAGCGATCGCGCTCTACGGGCCACCGGGCCCATCTGGGAGGCCCGGCCAGCCCCAGCCCCAGGACGCCTTCTCATCCTGGACCCTTTGCGGTGGGACCCGCCCAGCTCGCTGGCTGGGAGCGACCGCGCGGCCCGCAGCAACTGGTGTTTCCCCGGGGCGCAGCTCCGCCCTTCTCGGGAACAAAAGCCGCCGCCCGCGCCGCAGCTCCCCGCGGACCAGCGGAGAGGGGGCGAGACCCCCGCTCTTCCGAGCCCAGCCCCGGAAATAAGGCACCCCCAGAGGGGCGCCCCCAAACTTCCCACCTCTCTGGTCCGGGTCGGGGGAGGCGTCAGGGCTGGCCTGCAGGGCACGCGGAGAGCACACGGAGCGTGCACTGGGCCCGCGACCTGGCGGGCGGCGGTTGTACGCCGAGTTCTCGAGAGCGACGCAAGGGGAACCGAGGGGACCGGCGAGGCCGAGGGAGCTCGAGCCCGAGCGAGGGGAGGGGGCGAGAAGTCCTCAAGTTGGAAACTTACTGCAGTCGTCCGACTCGTAGCCGTCGGCGTCCGGCTCGTCCTCCGGCGGCTTGGCGGGTGGCCGCGCCGGGCTGGGGCCGGAGCTGGGGCCAGGGCTGGGGCCGGGGCTGGAGCCGTAGGCGCCAAAGAGCTGGTCCACATCCTCGTCGTCGTCGCGGGCGCCGTCGGAGGGGCTGCGGCGACCGGCGCTGGCCGCGGCTGGGCGCGCGGGGGCGTCCGGGGGTGCGGCGGCGCGGGGCCCGGCGTCCGGGGGCAGGCCCCGCGGGAAGCGGGGGAAGTAGTCGGAGATCTGCTTGATGGGCCGAATGGGGCCGGGGCACACGTCGATGGCCATATGCTCCTGGATGCTGATGGTCGCCTTCTCTCCGCGCCGCCGGAGGGTCATGCAGGCAGCGCGGCCCCTTTCGGGCGCGGCCCGGCCCGGCCCGGCGCGACCCCGGCCTGGGGGGCGGCTCAGCAGGCCCGGCGGGGCACGGCGGGGGTTGCGGGCATCGCCGGCCGCGCCCCCGGACGGCCCTGACGCGGCTGCTGCCTGCTCGGCGGCGGCCGGCGCGAGTGAGTGCCAGGGGCCGGCAGGCAGGGGGCGGGCCCAGCCCGCGTCACCCGGTAGCAACCAAGCAGTGTGAGAGGCCGGGCTGCGCGGGCGGCGCGGAGAGGAGCGAGCCGAGCGGCGCCACACTCACCCGCACTCGCACTCGCCCGGCGCGCACACCGGCCCGGGACCCCGCGCGCGCACACTCGCGGGCAGGCAGGGCCGCCGGGTGCCTTCCGCTCGGGCACATCCGCCGCAGGACAAGCGGGGAACCAGCCAGCTTACCAGGGACTCGCAGGACGCATAGTCACATTCCCACCCGCACCATCGAATGCTGGGCTCCGTCCCCTCTTACAGGACACAGGCAGGTGTGCAAGGACTCTGCAAGCGCACACAAACCCGCGCAGAGACACTGGGAAGTGTCCACTCACACCTGCAGGATACACACACAAATCTACACTTGTACTGAGTTGGTTGAGGATGCTGTGGCCAGGTACACTCTCCAGCACACACGTGGGCAAGGATACCCAGGGGCAGTCTTCCCCACCCCCAAACGCCCCCAAGACAAACGAACATACACCATAGAAGTGATGGGGACCCTAGGCACAACCCCCTCATTCCACCCCCACCTAGCATGACATGGAGTCGCGTTCTGAGGAGCGCAGCGACAGGCTGCTTACACACTGGCAGGACATGTACGCCCTCAATTGTGTAGGAACACTGTGTGCCTAGTTTTGCATGCTTCCTCTCAGGTCACATACTAATACACACACTGTAACCTCAGGTCAGTTCTTCTCTTGGTCAGGGAGTGGTTTGAAGGACTCACAGGGGTGGCTGAGAACCCAGACTAGGGCTCTGTCAGGAAGGGTGTGGGCAGGCAGGGCCTGGGTAGAGGAGGCCTTCCCAGGGAGTGAAGGAGGAGGCACGCCCCCCTACTCAGGCCTCCCACAGGTCGGAGAGCATATCCTGGGCAACCCAGCCCCAGCTGCTGTCCAGGTTTCCCGGAATAGAGCTCTGCTGGGAACGGCTGTTACCAGTACAGGTGTGTTCCTGGAAAGCCCTGGGCATGAATGGAATTTTGTTTACTCTCTGGTTTCTTGGCTGGGTCCCTTCTGTGAGTCTGAACGAGGTATTTCCCCATCCTAACCCCTGTGGAGGGGCGGAGAAAGGATGGGAGAGGCCCTGTCTCATCACTTTCAGCTGCATCCTGCTGGTGGCTTATTTGCTCTCTCTGAACCCTGGTTTTCTCACCTGTGAAATGGGGCTGATCCCAGCCGAGAGGCACTGTGGTGTGGCTTTATCTAGCACAGAACGTGATAGTCAGAGGTGCTCACTCAGCTTGGCTTTCTCTTTTCCCTTCCCTTGGGAAGACGAGACTCACTGGTGAGAAGTGATGGAAAACCACTTGCTGCTGTTTCGTGGTCAGCTCTGAGGTGGGTGGTGGTCATCACTACTCACCTTTGAGAAGGTCATCACTATTATACATTATATTGGTCCAAGGACATTCATAGCTGTCATCTCATTGATTCCTTATGTCACCCCATAATGTAGACAGGGCGTACTGTTCCCATTTCACAGGTGGGGAATTGAGGCTCAGACACTAGGACTTGACCAAGGTGACTGCTAGCTGGTGGCAGAGCTGTCATTAGAAGCCGGGTGTCCTGACTTTTTTTTTTTTTTTTTT